ACGAACACAGTTTCTTAAAAAAAAAAAAAAAAAAAAAAAAAGACCCACTGCGTAAATAATACCGGGAAAAAAACGAAGGGCATAACATGATAACAACAAACTGAGATATACAAACGGCAAAACTTTTCTCCAGAGCACCCTGCAAAAATTTTTAGAAAGACAACAACTCGTGATACACATTCAAAGTCGAATGGCACGAAAAAATAAGGATAAAGTACGCTGAGGAAAAAAAGTGTCAGTCCAAACCCACTAAAAAACGACTAACTAGAATGCGATCACTCCCACTACCGCGTAAGCGTACCGCAAACAAAACGAAGATATGCATATGATGACGAACTGACAATCACAAACGACGAGAGAAAGGTTCAGAAAGACAAAAACTCATGATACACTTCCAATTAGATTGACACGTAGAATAAGGACAAAATACATCGCACAAAAAAACGTCGTAACATTAGCACTTTAAAGCCAATAAAACGACTAATTAGTATACGATTGCTCCTCCTACTCCCTTTTGCCAAACTCTGAACTACGCACAAGGTCCTGCTACATGCGACGAAACCCATACACTCGTACAGACCACTCGACTGCAGAAGTCATGACCAAACGCGTTATTTTCTCTCTTCAACGAAAAAGACAGAAGCCCCTCTCCTGTAAAATCAGATAAAATCTAAACCCCTACCATAAGCATACCCAAAATACGAACTCCCTAGTACCCCTCTCATTTCCTTACTCCCAAGATGTGTCCACATGCAACTATAATACAATTGTGCTAGCTTGCATCGCCATCTACCGCAGCCCAGCTGGTGCTACCAGACTTTTCGCACTTGCCTACTGCGTGCTCCTAAGGCTTCGATACACGCAGTCTACAATTCCTTTCTCCGCTAAGACACAGACTCTTCTTCTTTCCCGTGCGCACGACTAGACACTCCATACCTGAACGTGGGTAATCTTACACCTAACGCACACTCAGACGGATGTGCGAGAGCACTAATTTCTGCAGGAGCTGACAGTCAAGAGGCAATGGCTACACCCGAGGATACTACATCCTCTTAAACTTTCAATCTTCAGGAAGGATCATAACTATCAAAGAGTGTCATCAATGTTGTACACCCCTACGTAGCACCGTGTTAGCGTTCGGAGGCGAACGCGAACATGTTCGCCCGAACGCGAACAAGCGCCCAAAACCCTCCGAACGCGAACATAAAAATTATTTAAAAAAACAAAAACAATCTTAGAAAAATCTGAAACAAATATATGTTATGTAAAATAATAATACAAGCAACGTTTGCCTTGGAGTCATGTTCAAATTTGTAGCCAATCATGAGTTAAAAATCAAAAACCGATTTTTTTTTATTTTTTTTTTTTTACGAAAAAAAATATGTTCGTCCGAACATGTTCGCGAGCTGTTCGCGCGAACGCGCGAACACGTTCGCGCGAACATGAAGGGGCGTGAACACGTTCGCCGTGCTACGCAGGTACACCCTAACACAACACCCTTCTATGATAAAGTCTATTGGAGATTATAATACGACCCTATGATGAGCTGCTATGGGTATTAGGCAGAGAAAAGCGCGCTTCAGGGTGTGCACCCCCGCTATGGCTGTCTTCAACAGCCATCTCTAACCCCAACTTGACCTCTAATCTACGCCCTCCTAATTGATGTTTGATGATTAATACAAATCCTCTAGCTATAAAGTTGATGGCTTAATTATGATTCCCCTCGTAAAACGTTTTGTTTGTGTTAAACCTGCGACTAACTTCTCGCTGATGTACGATTGGATAGATACATGGTCTTGTTCCCTGGAGCAGATATGGGGTACCTGTGCTATACACACCCACTACACTGACACACACACACACACACACACACACACACACACACACAC